TTCGTCAAAACACGACAGCGTACCAGATTCCATCACAATATCTCGAAAATTGCGACCTACAGTATGAACGAGCACAAGAACACAATGCGGACAGATGGACGGACGCACAAACAGCTTAGATCGATTCAGAAAATCATGCATAATCAATAAGATATAAAGAGTCTATAAGTGTTCCTTTGGGGCCAAGCTTTTCATATAAATGAATGTTCGATATGTTGAATTTGTATGTTTGGTTGGTTTGTCTGGAAAGTTGGAATGCCCTGAAGGATGTTTGAACAAAAAGTGGTCTTATTGTGTGTGGTTGATTCTGGGTGTGATTGGTTTGTGTCAACCTTGTGGTGAACTGATTAAGTTTGTGTTGTAGATGTAGAGTGTGTATATGTATGTATAACGAAACTTTGCCATTTCAGTAATAAAGAATACTTTCGCTTGCTTGCTTCCGTTTCTTTACGTTATATATATAAGTGCATATTAATAGTTTTCTTTACGATTTTTCAATAGTTTGTGCAACGTATTATAATACCATTTCCCCTATGATGGCTTACTTGTCATGTAAATGTCTATGTATGGTGTCGCGGGCGAAAACAGAGCTACGTGGCCAAAATTCCGTAATTATTAGTTAACTTCTGTGCCAAATTGCTTTTGCGAGCCAATTTTGACTATGAAATATGGAAAATTAGACCATGTTTCAATATGAAGATTAAGTGCTTGTACGAACAGTTGAACGGAAGTAGGTTCGAAAATTTGTCAATTTAAGGTGTCGAAGTCGAAATATTATTCCTCGGCGAATCTTGTCGAGACATTTTGAAAATCGTGAATCTTTTCATATAATATATTTTTTCAAAATAAAGCAGTATATGGGAAGTGCTTGTCAAGAGGGATCAGAGCCAATCCATTTTCAATGGGATTCGTACTTAAGCGAAAACACATGAGGACAACAAATTTCGTCAAAATATCTCAACAATTACGACTCCTAAGTCGAACAGAAGAAAACAAGACAGACGGGCGAACGGAAACGGACAGAGAATCATTTTCTGAATCGAGTGTTATAAGAAAGTCTGGCTGTCTCTTGAAACTTATTATATGCTACATCCTATGGTGTAGGGCGCAAAAAATGCCTTGGAAGGTACAATCGAATGAATATTCGAAACATAAGCAACTCAATGACAACTTAAGTTATAAATGAAATGAAACAGACATAAGACATAAGATAATCGTTTTCGCCATTAATCGATGCCACAATTATGTATAAATGTTTCAATAGAATTTTTCAACGAAAACAAGAGAGAGAGAGAGCCAATTGGCCGAGTAGGCTAAGAATGGAGAGCCGGTTGATCAGCAAAACGAGACAATCCTTACTGAGCTCAACATCTCCAACTACAAAAATTCCGTACATCGCTTTCATTGCAGCTTGCTTTCGTTTCCCGTTTACCCAGCGCGTACACATTGCGAAGTTGCGTGGCCCACCATTAACTATCTAACTAAGACGGCGAAGGGAAATGGGCGCAGAGTTTTGTAACTTTTTATTAAAGGGTGGATAAGCTTTTCAGGCTTTTTCCAAACAAGCAAACAACGAAACAGATCAAATATTTGGAAGAGTACCCTCTGAGGGAGACGACGAGTACCATAGGCTTTTTTTCCCATGTGAACGTAAACTTTACGCGACAAGATGTGATTTAGCCATCAGTATAACGACATGCAACGACAGGCATTCAGATCGCTTTCAATGGCGAACTGTAACAGTGGGGCGCAATTGCTCACCAGATTACTCACGAAGTGGGAACTTTGCCCATAGCGCTTCTTATATGCAAATATGCAATTGTGAAAATAATTTAATTCGTGTTTTAATTGTCCACTGATTGCCATCAGCATAAAGGTTTTGAAAATTTTTCAATGAAATTTTGCTAAATAAGAGAAAGAGCAGTTTTCGTCTTTCATTTTAAATAAATTGCAGTTAAATAAACAGGCAAGTCCACAGATCGAGACCGAGATATTCGACAGCTACAAGGGAGAATTATAGAAAGCAAAAATCGAACAGACGAGTCAGACACGCAACAACTTAGACCGCAATTGAGCCGTGAATTGCTTACTAATACTACGATTGTACAAAAAAAAAAGAGAAGAAATATTTGCAATAAAGTCAAAGTTGCATGCTTTTGCATGGATAGATGAAAATCGGATACGACATTTTGCAATTTCGTCCGTTTCATACGTATGAGCGGACGAAGGCAACGCACAATAGTTGCCTGCTGTCTGAAATTTCGCCAAGCAATTAAGCCTAGACGTAACATCGCTTTCAAATAGAAGGGATTGAGTAAATCAGTAAAGTGTTAAGCGTTCTCGTTCAGTTTAACTGGCAGCGAAGGCTGAGCTAAATCTCTCGTCTAATTTCACTGTTTACAGGCATATAATTTCCAATAATCTTTAGTTAATAAGATCATGTGCAAAGTATTATTCATTATTATTATTATGAAAGCAATGGAAAATTTATGTAAATTTCTTCTCACATATTAGATTTTGTTATTGTTGTTGTTGTTTTTTTAACTCTAATCAATATCATTCTCGTTTATCATCATCATTATCATCACTTACATAATTATTTACTGACATCGGCAATTTGTTTATGCATGATAGCAGCAACAAAAGCGAAAGCGAAAGCGAAAGCAACAAAAATAGAAATAATAATAATAATAATAAGAGCAACAACCACATATAACTTTAAAATGAACAAATTTGTGGCAGAATGGGCGAATGAATGTGTTAAGCTTGAAATGGGATAACTGGATCGCGTATCAAACGTTACACGTTATATGTAAGCAAACACACATATATGTGATGTGATATGTCTTCGCTGTAACAACTTTCCCCCAAACGATTTAAAGAACTTTCTAGCTAGTCGGCGAATGCGGGAAAAAAAGAAATCAAATTACACTCAATGACGTATACAAGCATGACTGGTAATCGTTTAGTGATACTTATTACATATAATATGTCGATGCTATCGATATTACTCCGCTTTAAGAATATTTATTATAATTGTTGATGTGTGTCGGCGTAGGAATCATGAAGGGTGTATAAGCGTGTGTGCATATAGAGAGGGGGCTATCTTCATACGAAACTTGAAAACATTCGTTTACATATGACGATTTGGCTTTCGAAGTAACTTTTTCTTTCATTTTCGTTGCGTATTGAAAAATTTCGAAGAAATTTGCAAAGGAACGCGAGAGAGAAAATCGGCAAAATTCATGAATAAATTAGTAATAAATTTTTTATAAATTTATAACATTTTTCTTCTCATCTTTTTTTTGCTTTTTTTGCTTCTTTTTCTTTTTCTATTTCTTCTTCTTTTGACTATGTAAGTAAGTATAAGTGATGGCCTAGTGGCCGCTTAGAAAGGAAAAGTGTTTGAAATGATGGCGATAAAAATGTACCTCTTTCTTTGCGCTATTGACATGGGTTAAATTCGTTTTTCATATTAACGCTTTTCATTATTATTCTTGACCATTGTTATCCCCCTGGCTAGCCCTGGATTAACTTGTCAATATGAAATAGAAATCCTTGAAAACTCTCTTACATACAGTTTTCTATACGCTTTATAAATCGATTCAAAAACACATTAAATTCATCTTAACGTTCGTAACATTCGCATTTCAGAGCAATACTCGATTCTCAGTCGGTCTGCGTCTCAATCCGCTCTAGAATTACTTACCATCGCAATAACTAGAAAGGAAGCCTAAAACTTAACATTTACTTAACATGTTTTTCCTTAACCGATACAACTCAAAGAGTATAAATCGGCACAATTCTCACTCACACACACACACACACACACACAAACACGTTCACTTTTGGTTAGTAAAAGCTATAATTTGAAATGAACGACGATTACAATCGACTGAACCAGAAGTACTACCGCAGACCTAAGAAGAAAGACTACAGGGAAACAGGAGAATATGTCACGTCCACGTCCGCGTTACAACAAGTCTAAGGATTACACGAATTATCCGATAACCGCATCATACACATCTACATCGACATTACGACAGTCGACTGGTAACCTTCCACCCAGGAGACAAGCGCCCTACAAAGCTAGTACTTCTGCCGCGACTTTTTCCATAGGGGATCGAAAGTAATCAGAGTTTTCGACATATATTGCCAACCGACTACATTTTGACTCTTTCCCTTCCCTAAAGATGGGCTTGCTTTTCAGGGCTGGTTATTCGCCTCGCACCTCTGAATGGTCGAAGTTAGCTTACAAACACTCCCACAATATGCCAGATACTGTCATTTTTTCGCTCGATATATTGGAAACATTTATCAGGAACACAACATAAAGAAGATTAAAATTAATTTTTCATTCATTTAGTTTCTACACAACCATGCGGCGGCAAGGAAATAACATGGAACCCTTCTTGTCGATATTGAGACTAACATACTCGTAGCAGACAGGGAAACCTTTGTAACTTGAAAGCTATAGTAGAAGTGAATAGCTTCCCAGCGTGTGCCGCTTGTAACCTATATACGGCAGATGTAAATTAAAAAACTTACAAATATTTTCCAGAATCAACTGAGCGCTTCGATGTACAAATGCCTTTAAACCTTTCAAAGAGAGCACAATTCAAGTAAGAGTCGGTGCTTTCAATGTTAGATATGCGAGATACGCCAGATATGCTAGATATTGATGGGAAGAAAAGTTACTTTTAGATATCTTTCGAGGATATATATAGAAACATGAAAATCGTTCCGATCGCGAGGAAAAAAACGAAACTGAACAGACACGTCTGCGAAATTTAAATAAAAAAAAAAAAAATCCCCAAAAACTATTATTCACTGGCTTGAGGTCATGAATATGAAAAGCTTAACCGCAACTGCGATTATTACTTGCGTGCGAAAATAAAAATTCGTTTTTATATATATTTTCTTCGATTTTCGATTTGCGATTTTTTTCTTAATTTATTTATTTATTTATTTTAATTTTTTTTTCTTTCTTTTTGTTTTAGTTACCTGACGCCAAAGATCTGCACAACATGTCACTAGTCGGCAGTTATGGCTCACATTTGCTGCACAGTTTTCATCCTCATCTATTACAAACCTTAAATCATAACATGCTTGCGAATGGCAGCGCAGCCGCCGCTAGTTATTTTGCTAGTGAACGTGCAGGTTTAACGAAACCATCTGTCTTAACGAATTTTCAACTGCCTTCAGCGTTCTCACCGCCCAAATATATCGGCATATCATTAGATCAGGTAAGTAAATGGTCGCCGGGTGATGGCGAGAGGGGTGGGCCAAGGGGAAAGGGGGAAGGGAAAAAATGAATTATTTCTCTTGCACGCATAAATTTCTATAAATTTAAAAATTTTTTTTATAATATTTTTTTTGTAGAATCTTTTCAATGGTAACGATTCGTTTCGTACGGATTCAGCCAGTCCCACATGTACGTCGCATGAGTCTTTGGAAGGCTCAAATGATTATGATGGTGAAAAGGGTGAAAGTCCGCGCAGTAATGCTTCCGATCCCAGGGATTTAAGACGTAAGTTAACGTGTGATGATGAAGACGATAATAATAATAATAACAATAATAATAATAATAATAATAGTAATGATTATGATGATGATGATGATGATGATGATGATAATGATGATGTCTGTGATGATAACGATAATTATATGTGTTATGTTTTCCTATTTTTTATTTTCATACATTAGAAGGGGTGGTTGATTGTGTGTCTAAAATAAAAAAAAATTTGCATGTTGCCAAATATTTACAGATATATGCATACTTTTTTCTTAAATTAAAAGGATTTTTTTTTTTTTTTTTTTTTTTTTTTGTAGACATTAACGTCCATCTGATAAAAATCTATTCCATTCGAAAAAAAAAAAAAAAATAAATAAACGAAACGTTTATTTATTTTGTTACAAATTTAATTTTATTTCCCTTTAGACAATTTTAACGCTTGACTTGTTAGTTTGTCAGCCACTTGTCAGGATATTTTTCGTTTTCTTTTTTCTTTTTTTTTTTGTAGCATTTTCTATGAACTTTTCTTCATTTCTTATTTTTTTTATTTATTTTTTTTTTTTTTAAAGGAAAATATGCAGATAAGTCTGATTTTCAAGTAGATTTTTTTTCAAAGCACTTTTATTAAAAAATAAATAAAGAAGAGAAGCTATGTAATCGCCTCGTATCCTAGATAACCATTATCTATAGCTTAAGTTGTCATATCCGCAATACGGGAAATGTTTGATTTGTGAAAGTTGGGTAGTGTAAACAAATACTCCCCGCAGACTTCGGAAAATGCATATTAAAGGTGGAAAAATGCGTATGGCTTCTACTCCGTTTAGGCGCCGCGCCGTGCGGAAAATCACCTTTGATTTTTATATTAAATATTTCTTCTGCTTAACCACCAAGAGACATATGAATTTAAAGTTTCCCATATCTCTAGCCATATGGCGAATGAAAACACTTGCTCTTTAGTGGCAGTAAATCCTTCTTACCATGTGTTAATTGAACCAAGGTATCACTTCGATTAAGTCAATAATGCTTTGCAGGTTTGTGAAAAAGTTCAGGGTATGAAAAAGTTGATGATAGGTATGACGAAGAAGTTTTCACAGATCCATAAACAGCTCGCTCGCGTCTATCCTGAAAAGTTTTCCAACATTTACACGTAAGGTATGTAAATATGAAAACGGAATTTTTCTATAAAAAATACGCATTCACTATACGAAAATTATGAAAAAATATTTGATTCAAACTATTGCTCATCTATAGCTGTATCGCCCATCTTTAGCTGTGTTGCCCATCTTAAGCTGCTTATACTTCTCGCCTGTCTAACAATCTCTAAATGCCACGAAAACACAACTAATGCGGTTTTGACGCACACCAATCATCAAACCATCTTCGTATGTTTTCGTAAGAAGTAGGACACTGTTTAGCCAAATGCGTGTCCCATCGAAGGAAATAAGTAGAATTTGGATGGCGCCAAGTCTGGTGATTAAGCTGCATGAGCTAACACTTTCGAGTTGTATGCGTCCAAGGTATCATGGACCGTGTGGATAGATGGGCGGATGTCATGCAAAAAAATATCTTGTGTTGCTACTCCTGATCTTCCGGTCATTTTTTTTTTTTTGTGCAACAGCGTTCGATAACCAAAGTTTCGTCAAACTTTAACAACTAATACACAACAGAACGCGTTTTTTTGGTCCCATCAAACCCAGAGCGTTGTCGCCTTGCAATAGTGATTCGTTACCCCTTGATCTACTTATGAAATTTCGCATATTGGATTTTTAAAAAGAAATCTTATTTCCACCCCCAGTAATGGTGCAAAGGCAACTAACTTCCTTTTATATGCTCTTTATTTAGCGTAAAGCGTATTTTTGCGCTACGATATGGGTACGTATTACGACTGGTCATTGTGGCTACATGTAGGCACATATGTCCTTTACGCAACAACAACTACAGCCATCTATGGGCAAATTCCAGTTTTATATACCTGATAAGACTGTAAGCCTGTACGATTGACTCCAGGCGTTCGTGTCAACAATTAATGCGAGTAAAGCCCGCACACATCAGACAAGCTAGACAGCGCATATCTTTATTGACAGTCGGTCAATATTAAGAAAGCTTAGCTGGGAAGTTTCGGCATATTACAAGACCGCATGAGCAGCATATTTTACCATACCCGTCCTTGTGAACCAATAATGAGTATCGTGTGTAAATGACGTCAGGCTCTTCCTTGTTGCAAATATTTGCTATTTATTTTTGGTTATAAGTATACCCTACAGCACTTGTGATACAAGGGTATATTAAATTTGTGCGGATGTATGCAACAGCCACATGAACTTAAGACAGATCCATATTTCTTTGCAGCTGAGCTTGTGTATCCATCCGTTCGCCATGTTTTCTGATGTCCAACTTATAAGCCGTAATTCTTGAGATATTTTTATGAAATTTGATGCACTGACCTACTTTAGCCCAAGGACGAACGCTCTTGAAAATGTTTCGGATCGGACTAATTTCTCGACCCTTTCCCTTATAACGCCTTACCTTGAAAAGTCTGCGTATGAATAACTAAGAAGCGGCGTAGGGTATTTAAGGGCGGGCCCTGGCGGCCCACTGTAGCGTTTTTACTTGCGTTGGTAAGCATAAACTATTTAATTAGGAAAGGCGCTGCGTTAAAGCATGAGAAAAGACACAAGAAGACAACGTGAAAATAGGCGATCACATTAATAAGAGAACATAAATATCATATTCTATGACTTCTCGAGATGAAAGCAAATGAAAAAAAAGCTCATTGATAACTTTTAGATGACAAAAACACAATCGAGCTTTTAACGAGAATGTCTGCAACTCTGTGTGCTTATCTATTTTTTCTACTTCTAGCTGCACAATTCCACAAGTCAGTGTTATTAAGCCACACTCTTAAGCTTAAACGGCTTAAATTGCACTATTATAGAGAAGATCAAAGTCAACAAATTTTTGCTTAGAATATTTTTAGCCTTAAATTATTAAGTACAAAGTAAAATAAAATTATGACATTATATATGAAAAAATATCAACTAGAAAAGCTAGTAAACGGTATACAATGTATTATAGGCATTAAAGTGTTAAAGGCAAACATAAGTGTATGCAGAAAGTTGAAGGCGAACGCAAGTCTATGTAACTGTGTTATATAGGTATTTATAATGCCTGGTCTGCCTCACTGAAATTCGAACCCATGATCGCCGTGTCTATCCATTGCATCGGGTGATCCACCGTAACTTCTTTGCACCATAGTGTGTAGCAAACGAAAAGATGAAAGAACGTCAAGAAAGTATTTAAAAAAAAATATTAACGAAACTCTTTAAATTTTAGTGAACATATTTTTGAATTCATTTAACAATGAGATGATATTCCCTTCTGCTCATTAATATTTTTTATACACATTTCTCAATTAAATGTATTTAAAATCATTTATGTATGGTTTTTAATGAAATATTTTCAACGTCTATACGTCCGTATTTAAATGCAGACGTCGTTGGAATTTTATTTTTATTTATGTTTTATTTATTTTTATTTTTATTATTTTTTTTTTATATATATATAATTGTCCATGACAACTTTGACATTACCGAAAAACTCACACTTTCGCTTAAACATAAATGGTGAAATAATAAAAAAAAAAAGATGTAAAAATAAAAAGCGCATAACCAGAGAACAACAATGACCGCAACATTTCAAAAACGGTTTGTAACACTTGTCAAAAAACGTGACCTCCACAGATGAAATATATTTAAATAAAACCAAAAACCATTGAAAATGGGTTACAAAGAGTTCGAATCGAATCTTTAATACCCGTCGCTAATAAAGTCAAGCAAGAGAAAATGTTTAATAAAATATAAATCAAATTAAAAGATCGTCATTAGCAATAATTTAAATAAATAATGTGTGAATGAAAAAATGTTTGTAATCCATTGTATTTGCGCGTTATTTGCAAAACAAAATTACATAAATTTGTTGTGAAATTCAAGTTTCTTTATTATTCAATGTTAGGGCTATATTCAGTCTCTCAAAATCGATTAAAAATTCCACTTGATTATCATCGGTAGAGAAAATTCACTTCGGAGAATTTGTACAGTGCATGAAGGGAACCGTCCAAATTCCACCTAAACATGCCTTAAATCCAAATTTAATTTTGCGAACAATATTTAACTTCCTACAATGAAGCAGATATAGTTTTTCTTTTTATTCTTCCAAAATGTTAGCAAAATTCCTATACCTTAAGTGTCTTAAAATCTCTTCGCTAAACTCATTTGTCGATTCAACAATATGTTCTATGTATAGTCGATGTCATGATGTGTATATATTCTTAATCAAAATAGTACTTGGAACCTTTACTTTACAAAGGTCCCAAATTTAGAACGGCACGATTTTAATATTTAAGAGAGAAAAATAAAATATGATACCTTAGACCCACTAGATGCACTATTTTAAGTGGTTGGGTGTTTAGGATTCACTCGATAACGACTTGCTTTTCTCACTTTCTATATATTTTGTCATTAAATTTTCAAATATTTGAATTTATGTTCCAATATCGAACCTTTCATACGATAATTTGGAAAGTTCTGTGAAAAGTTAACACAAAAAAAAAAAATTTCATAATTCGCTGCAGTTAACAAAAACAAAAAAAAAAAAAAAAACAATTACTTTATCGTCTCCACCTACCGAAGTATCAATAGCTATTTTTTGTTGTTTAACCCGGAGAAGTGGCTTAAAGCGTATGGTTAACTGTTGCATATTTTTAGGATCACCATTTAAGTCATTATTCATCGGGGGCCAGTATTGCCATAAAGCAGAAAACTGTTCAAATACTCACATCACTTAGGAAGGAGAGCAATTTGATCTCTTCATGGGATCGCAATCTTTTCCGTGCATTTAACTTCTTCTTCAAAATCTTTCGTTCTTATTTTATTCAATATAGAATACACTAGAGATATACTTTAAAAAGATTTACAAAACTTTCTTTCACGATAATGTTTACGCACAATCCTCTAGTG